GGAAAAAGGCCTTGTACCATAAGGAGAACAATTAGAATTGGGACTATTAATATATGCAGGTGACACCAGCAAAGACAATGGAAATTGGCTTCTTGGAAATAAATCATAATCTCATGGTGGCTATCTGCCTGTGAATGGTGGATTAGGAAGGCATAGTGAGTCAAAGATTTAAAAGTAGTATTTCTCAAATTGTGCTGTACATCCAAATTACCTGATGACTTGGGAAAGTCCCTGACATGTGGCTCTAACAACATTCTAAGTTAATTGAAAGGAATTAATTATAATCTCAGGAGATTCTAATGTGCCATAAAGTTTGGTTTGGCATTCACTGGGTTAAAGTCAAAGATATCATGCCTCATTTGCATTGATGCACATCCTTTCTGTGGATTCCCTCTGCTAATGTCCCCGTCTAGAAATCTGAGACAAAAATACTCACATGAAATCACTCCCCAAAGTCTTCACATTAGAATACTTGCCCTCTGGGATACAGCACACTGAGACCCCTTTCTTTTCTCCCCCTTCTGTCCTCCTCTCCCTGTCTTTGAAGTCTGCCTCCAGTTTCAAGGCAGTTATACTAGCAAAGACCCTGGCATCAAGTTGGCAGGATTAGGATACAAGCCTTTTAAACACACCATCACACCAGTGGTAGCTGCATCCAGAGCCTTAAGTTTCGGATTTCTCTTTCTTTGCACCATCAATTTTAATCAATTACTCCTAGGATGACAATGCTCCCAACTGCTGGATTAGATCCTGAACTTTATCATCCTTAACTTAGTTACAGATAGGGGGAACATTCCAAAGATTTGACATGAAATTTTCATACTATATTAAATGTGCAAGTATATACTCTGCCACTGAGTATCTTCACTACCCATATTGAATCTTGAGAACTATCTTTATAGGTCAAAATCATGGACAGTAAAAGGCAACACAAATGCCAAGTCTCTGTGTGAAATCTTTTCTGGTCCTCTCAAACAGATGTAGTTTCTTTTCAATTTGAGACCCCATAAAATTTAACTAATCCAGCTGCAGCATAGTACAGTTCAAGGGTATTATACTGAATTCTTGGATTAAACTCCATCCACATCCCTTACTAAAACTGTGACTTTGGATGAGTCACATAACTGTTCTGAGGCAAGGTTTCTTCATAAAATATTATTTTCAAGTTAGGATAAGATACAATATACAGAAAGTGTCTACTTTGGGACCTGTAACATAGATATGTGATAAATAATGGCTATTGTTTCTTATAAGCTATATCATATTTTGCTTTATAGAATTTTGGTTATTTGACTTTTCAATGTTTATTTATGTTAATTTCAATTTTTAATTACCTGAAATACAAATGTACTCATTTAAAAGACATCCATTCATAAATACTTAATTTAAAAATTAAAACTTAACACTGTGACCTTATTCTATTTAATCAAATCATATCAATTACATTTTCCTAGATTGTAAGCAAGGCAGTATATACCTATGAATTCCACATAGATAACATTCAAAATATTCTTAAATGGGAACTGGGGATATAGCTCAGTGGTAGGGTACTTACTTGGCATGTGCAAGACTCTGGGTTAAATCCCAGGCACCATAATATGCATGTATTGTTAAATAATTTAAGGCTACATGTGGTAGGGGATGATACTTATTCTATGCAGATTGCTGCTGGATAGGAAAGGAATAAAGTGTGGAGCTGTCCCCAGGCTGCTCTACCAGCTCATCCTGGCAGCTTTGTAGAGGAACATGGCCTGGGTATGCATGCAAAAAAGGAGAACCCAAATGGAGACCTGGGGTATATGCACTTCATGAAAAAGCCAGGAAGCTAATAATGCAATTACTTGTTATTTGATCTTAAGTTTTATGCACAACTGTGGGACAGACATTGTCAAAGCAGATCTCCACCTTGATCCTTAGACAAAGTGCTTTTCCTGCCTTGCCAATAATAGAAAAAGAAATCCATCAGTAAAAAGGTATGTGTTTTAAAATTTCAGAAACAAAAACATTTTAAAATAAATCTTAGTTCACAAAGACATCATGCAGAGAAAAGTACTATATCCTAAAGACCTAACAAAAATGATCACGCCCAAGCTAATTTACTTTCTACAAACAGCTTTTTATTGGTTTGTTGCACAATTCCTGTTTTCCAGGAAGGTACTTGACTAAGTATCTCCTTTTCTTTGAAGAGAGTCATAACTTTGTTTGATGCAAGCCACCAATTTATTAAATCTTTGAATTTTTATATGCTTCATAACTATCTATGTAAAATAAGTTTTCAAAATTCTAGGTACAATATAAGCAATCCAGGTAGCATGCATCTGCCAGTATACCTACAATACATTTTCCTATGCATTTGTCTCTGGTAATATATAAGCAAAAAGAGAATGGAAAGGATATTCTAGATTTAATCCAGAAACAATTATGTAGAATTTGGAATTTTTTTTTTCAGAATGCAAAGGCATACACAATATAGTATACATGCCAAAATAGGTATTTTAAGGTATTAAACTTTCATTGAAAGTGAAAAAAAGAATAGCCAAGCTACTAGGGAAAACTTCCGTGAAAGAGGATGGGTATTCAAAAAACAGTATCTCCACTGTATATGTAATTTTATTAAGTGTTTAAAAGGTATGTAGTAAAACTAATTTTATGAATGAGTCAACTTGCACATATTGGAAGAAAAAGGAGAACAAAAGTTCTTTTCAATCCAATTCTGTAAAATCTAAAATATCTACAAATCTGTTGACGGGCGTAAATAGCTGTTCTTGCCCATTCTATAGAAATATATATTTTAATTAAAAACCTTGTAGCATACTTATGAATATGCATTGACCATCAAAACTTTATTATTAGAATGACCTTTAAAAAAATCACAATCTGGCTTAACACCTCCGAAGGCATATTATCATATGCTTTCACTCAGGGCAGTGAGAAATCTGAGGCTGCCTTGAAATCTACATCGGGAGTAAAATCGTTCTCCCTCTTACCAGCCTCCCCACGTCTTCAGCAAAACCCGTCCACCAGCTTGCTTCGCTTTACTCTAGGCTGACTTGAAAGTCTACAGATACTCAGGCTGTGAGTTGAGGGGGAAGCCCTTCCTGACCAATCAGGGCTTCCCTACCTATTGCGTCACACCTCCCCCTGGGTATGACGTCAAAGGCAATCCCAGCCCAGCCTCTAGGGTTGAGGAGGTGTAGCATTTCTGTGCAGCTGCAGCGACCAACTTGGCAGCAACTGTTCTAATGGGCGGGGAACTGGGCAGGGAGGTGCCAGAGGGTTTGTGCCTAAACCCTCTGGGAGCGCAGTTATAGCAGCTTGCTCCCCCGGGAGCAGAAGCGCGCCAGTGCCTTTCAGTCCAAGAATTCAGCGCTGGCGTTTGGGGATGGAGGGAGAGGCTCTGGATGAAACTGGCACCTAAGGCCGTGAAATAAGATCGGGTTCCTGTAAGCCCTCCTCCCCAGGCACCGCCTCTCTGCTCCCAGCCCCTCTGGCCAGCTTTAATGATCCTTTCAGCGCCGTTTCCCCTCGCCTGCGTTTCCTCGGGCAGAGGAAGCAGCCTCTGTCTCCCTCCGGTTCGCACCCTTACACAGAACCTCCTTTCAGACCCGCCCTCCTGTTCACTGGGACCGATTTCGGAGCGCTGGCTCGTTCTGGGCGGGAACTAGCGTGACGAATTCCGCCTAAGGTGTTGATTATCCATCCCAACTCAGCCTCTGGCTTCACTCCCACTTTCACCCGGGTTCCCGTGGGCCCCCAGCCCTCACCCTGTTTGGGTGCTCGGGACGGCGCCCCCAAGTCCTCCACCCAGTGGTGCCCCCAGAAAGAAGCGCCGGCGTGCTCGGTGCCACGTCGGAATTGGCTCCTAGGACGCTGCAGCTGCCTGAGCACAGCGCGCGGTCCCCTCGCACGCCCAGCCCTGGGTGGCGGGCGGGCCGGCGCTGCGCTGGGAGGAGAGATGCGCGCCCTCCTCCAGCTCCCAGCTGCGAGTGCCACCGCCTGCGTCAGGGACCCCTGGCCGGAGTGAGGCTTCCGGAGCTGAGCTGAGCTGAGCAGGGACAGACCCAGCCTGACACTTTAATGGGGTTTGGGAAGTGCAAAGGAGGGGAGGCTCGGTAAAGGGGGAGTGGCCGAGTGAGGCCGGTAGCTGCGAGGAGGTGGCGGAGGACCCTCCTTCTCCGGGGGTCTCAGCTTGTAGGAGCTGGAAACCGGGATCGCTTAACCCTTTCATTCCAAGCAAAAAGCGAGCTGCTTAACCGTAAAACCCGCAGGACAGTTACAGGGTTTTCCGTCCAACGTAGTGTGTGGGAAAAAAAGAAGAAGGAGGGAAGGGGTGGGGAGACAGGGGGGAAAGGGACGGCTGTGAGGGATGCATTTTCCTTACACAGTGGAAATTCTTTTTTTCCTAACACAGAGTCCCTCTGTCGCTCCAGAAGATGCAGAATGGAAAAGTACATCTCAGGACAAACAGCGTTGCCCAAGAGAAGCTACCTGTGTACCCAAAAAAGCAGCGGATTTATGGCGAGAGCCGCACGGATGGGAAAAGACGGATATATTGCTAAACTTGATACTGATCGGAAATATTCTCCCATTTTCAGTCTGTTGGAAATTTTCAGACCTCAAACTTTTCTATAGAAACTGATATTTTTTTTCTAACATTCACGTGGACAATTTCTTCCATTTCCCTGGCCTGAGGACCTTCATAGTTCACCCAAACGCCTCTGTGTAACGTACCTTGTTCAGCTCTCGGTCATAAAGTCGTCCTCAGCCTGTCTGTGTGGTCCCGGAGGGTCGCTGGAAGGCAGTTTCCAAAATTGAGGTAATAAGAGATCAGATGAATTTGAGACGACCGGCCAAAAAAAATAAGAAATTTAAAAACAACATTTAAAAAAGATGGGGGAGTCTCAAATGTTTAGTACTCTCCCACTTTGAAAGGAAATTCACTAATATTCTTTTTATTATTTCAGTTGCACTTCAGTCTTCTAACTCTTTTTTAAAAATTATCAATTTTAAAAATAAATTAACTTTTTTTGTGTATTCCAGTCCCCCTCCCACCGATAACGGAAAGTCTCTTTTTCGTATTTAAAAAAAAAAAAAAAAATGCCGGTGAAGACTCAGCAGAACCCAGGAAGCGCAGAATCAATCGGGAGAAAAAGTCTTTGGCTAGGGCTGGTTCAAGTCCCTGGTTCAATGGGCTGCTCGAAGCCAGGACTGGGTAATTCTTTCCAGACGCTTTGACTTCTCCTTCCTCGCTGTTGTTGCCTTTCTGCCTCCTCCAACTTAAGGGGGTCTTAGCAAGTGAGCTGGTGGGTGTTTTAATAGGGCGGAGGAGGGAGTGGGGGTTTAGGGGAGTGGAGGAGGGAGGTGTGGACTGGGGAACCCGGAGGGGAGGGAACTGGGAGCGCGGGCGGGCGGGAGGGAGGCGGGGAGGAGGAGAGGGAGAGAGAGAAATTGGCCATTCAAAGCCCTCTCTGAGCTAGAGGCCGGTTCTAAACTCCAATGAATTCAATTAACTTGATTGTTAACGTGTGCAGAGAAATGCAGTGCCCACATGCTGGCCGCCACCTGATTCCCTCCTCTCCTCCAGCGGCGGAGCTAGGAGACCCTCTTTGTAGATATTTCTGAAGTCTTGCCTGAGCTACACGCCTTCCCTCTACGCGATAAACGCCCTGTTACGTTTAGGTAATTTGCTTTAAAGACAAATGATGCCCCTCAGCTAAGTAGCTGCCCTGGGCAGGGACTGTGATGGGGTGTGTGTGTGTGTGTGTGTGTGTGTGTGTGTGCGCGCGCGCGCACCTGGAGCCTCGGAAAGCCTCCGGGACCCCCAAAAGAAGGCGAGTGGTCTAGAACTTGTTAACCCTTTCTTCCTGCTAGCTCAAAAGTTTTTAAACTGACATCAAATGTCAAAGCCTCCCCTTTGTCAAACCTTCGCTGTGGGTGGGCGAAAAAAAAAAGTAGAAAAGTATTGTATTTTTTTCCATAAATATGGTCCTTTAAGGTAAAAATAAGCAAATTGAGAACATTAAAGATAAAAATTTAATAAAACATCGAGTCTGTAGAACTCGATATAGCACTCTTAAAAATAGTTATATATGTGTATATATAGCCATCTCTAAGGAAGTGGATGACCTTCCTTGCGAGTTTTCTGTGAAGCTGGCGAGTCAAAATACTTACTCTTTTGCTGCTAAGTTGGCTTTTCATGTTTTTTTTTCCCCAATGTCCCCAAAGTTAAGTAGAGTTTATTTTCTCGGATACTTGGCCCCTTTTCTTTCTCCTTGGTCCTTGCTAAAAAGTCTTAAAATGGACAGTAGGTGGCACTGTTTAGGAAAAAATGAGTGGATTCACAAATGAACTGACTTGGTTTTGGGGGAGACTGATGAAATTGTTAACAGGGTAAAACATTTTCTTTTTTCTTTGCCTCTTTTTCTTACTAGGGACCTTGAGGTGTGCATTTCACTCGAACTCGACCAAGCCTTGATAAATTATTGGCCCATGATAAGGATCACATATAATAAACTTGGCAATAATGAACAAATCAGACAGAAACAGAAAAGTCCGATAAACTGGGGGTGATGCTTTCAATACGTCGTGCAGGGTGTGGTGTTGGGAGATGTGAAGAACGTTAAAAAAAAAAAAAATTTCTCTGCAACCCCAGGTAGCCAGCCAGGCAGCCAGCCCAGCCCTCTGGCGGACCTGCAAAGTGTTCCACCTTTCCGACCCTGCCCCACCCCCACATGCAGCGGTTACACCTCTGGGAAGCTTTACCTTGGCCCCCTGACTTCACGCCGCTCTTGGGAGACCCACTTACTCATTTCCCCAACAAAACTTCTTGGTTTCAGCCTTTGTCTGAACTCTGCCTGGGGTGGTTCAATTTTAGACAGACTGGCTTAAATTTCAGAGCAATTTCATCTCACTTAATCAGACTTGAGCTTCCTGATTTTTTTTTTTTTTTTTTGCCTCTTTGGTCGTTTTCAAATGCTAAATTATAATTGAAAATATATTCCTTAATTCTATACTCCTACATGTGATGAGAATTAAACTGATGTAGGAATAGAATGGACATTGTGGGGTGCCCACCGCCTGCCTGTGAGACCTTCAAGAGACATTTAATCTCCCAGCTCTAAACTTCCAGGGATATTACATGTAATGCAGGAGTGCCAACTATTGCTTAGTAGCATTTAACTTTTCATATGCTAATAATTCAAGCAGTGAGAACATTTCATAAAACTGAAATTCTTCATCAAAGGGAAACATATTTATTCTTTTTCCCCTTGAATTTATAATTCATGAGCCATAAAGAAAAAGGAACGTGTCCTCTGGCTATGGATGGATGTAAAAGTTGATATACATCCACACATTTCTCTCATCTCCTCTCCACCAAGGGAATGGGGAAAAGGCCAACACAACTTAAAGCCAGAGGATTAAGTTCCTTGTATGCAAAAAAGGATCCGAAATAAAAGAGATCTTGCATGCAAATCCCATCTTTAATGTTTGTGAGATCCTGGAAACACATTTCATCTCCCTGGACCTTGATTTTCTAGTTGATAAGTAGAGAAAAATACCTGCTTTGCATAGTTGTTGTAAGGACGGAATGTGTTAAACGTGAAGTGTCTTCAATTCTGTGGACATACTCAAAAAGCATTAGAGCTCATCTTCTGGCATTGTATTCCTTAAATTTTTGTTGGTAAGTGTGTTAGCTTTCTGTTACTGTGACAAAATGCTTGAGATATACATCTTATGTGGATGAAAGATTTGGCTCACAGTTCCAGAGGTTTCAGTCTACAGCCTTTGGGCCTCATTAGTTTTTGGGCCCTGGAAAGGGAATATATCATGGTGAGAGTACCTGGTGGAAGAGGCAGCTGGGAAGCAAAAAGAGAGACAGAAAAAGGGTCCAGGGTCCCAATATCCCCTTCAAGGGCACAGACCCCAGTGACCCAACTTCCTTCCACGAGACCCTACCTCCTAAAGATTCCACTCCCCCCAAAAAGCATCCCAGGCTGGAGAAGTCTTCAACACAGATACTCATTCAAAGCACAGTGGAAGCATCACCAACTGCTTTGTCCTGTGCTCTCTCATGTGACCTGCTTCAGCTTTCTACCATCTTCCCACTGACTCTCAGATTGAGTTATTCTGTGTCCCCATGGACACATCCCAAAACTTCCCATTTAATCCAACTTATGAGTTTCCCGTCAGAATTTCAGCTACCAGTCAGCCAGTCTTGGTTTGTAGGCACCAAATTAAGAGATATGAGCTCCAGATTCATACATTATGATATGAACCAACTGAATAACATGGGGCAACTTGCATTTCAGCTTTCTTTCTTAAAAAGGAGTTGCTTGGATCACAAGAATGTCATCTTGTGATCCAAGCAAATAATGTCATCTTTCTTCCACCCACTTCAGGTTTTGACATCCTAAGACCTAATTTTTTCCAATCCATGTATTTGGAAAAGTTTTTGTTAATGTGTTTTATGTGTTCAGCTTTGCAAGACAACAGAACAAATTACTTCAGACAAAGAACTTTTATCTAAGGTGATGGGAGTTAGCAGTACATTGTTTCTGATCTCCCTTTCAAAATATAAAACAATGGTCATATGTCTGATATAAACAAAGTACCCATAACCAGGGACTTAGTACTTCATAATTCTCTATGTAAATGGTTCTTACACTTTTGGGTAAAGAACTTCTTTATACTCTTAAAAATTATTGAGAGCCTCAAAAAATGCATTGATATGTTTATCAGTATTTATCATATTAGAAATTAAAGCTGACTGAAAAGTTTAAAGAGGCATATATTAATTAATTTAATGCAATAATAAACCAAAATATATGTCAACTTAATAATATCTTTTTTGTGAAAATAACTCTTTCAAAATAAAAAAAAATAGAAAAGTAGGATTGTTTTCTAGTTTTGCAAAGCTCTTTACTGTTTTGGCTTTATAGGAGATAGCTGTTTTCTTGTATTTTCTTCTCATTAAGTTGTTGTTTTGATTGAAGTATATGAAAAAAAAAACAAATTCTGACCTCATAGAGATATATAATTCAAAATGGAAGAATATTTTAATCGCCTATTTACATGTTCTTCTTTGATACAACATCGAAACTTGGTAAACTGTTATGTTGGATCTAAAACAGTATAGAGAAACTTCATCTACTCTGCTACATTAAAATATGTTGGTCTATCTTACACTTCAAATGCATCTTTTGCTCATCCCGGTAGCAAGTGCCTATAATCTCAGACACTTGGGAGGCTGAGGCAGGAAGATTGCATGTTCAGGACAGTCTGTGCAACTTAGCAACCCTGTTTAAAAAAAAAAAAAAAAAGGAACAAATATTTTTGAATTTGTGATGTCATGTATTGATTATTTGAAAAATATGAATTTACTGAGATTTGCAGATTTTCCAAATGTTGATGTATTTTTCATTTTCAATATTAAAAACAGTCACAATTTTAAGATCACCAATTTCTATCTAATTGTCTATCCAATAAATGTTATTCTGACATTGTAACACAAATTTTCTAAATTCTAATCTTCTCTTAGGACCCAGTATTTTCATTATCAACAAATATTATCCATTACTCTCATTGCGGTGACAGATCAATTCATTTAATTAAAAAAAAAAGTCTTCAGAATATCTCAGTCTGAATAATAGGAATTTGTTTGTTAGTTGTTCTTTCAAGTGATATTCCTTGATTAAAATGGCCAGCTTAGCTCACAATTCAATCACAGGAGAGTTCTTCCTCCAGACAGCTGTCATAGCTGAATACACAGAAATCTTTTCTGTATACTTTCCACTTTTTCACAAAGAATAGTGAAAAGCCATAAACTCCAGAGTTCAAATTTAATGAAATTAATAACTGGTACAACTTCATCTAGGACCTTACATGAAACTTGCTTTTTATTTCCCTGGGAGTACCTGTGTGGGCCACTAAGCCTGTCAGCACCCCTAAGTACAAACTCCTATACCTAAGTAGAGAAAGCTCCCACCCCTTTAAAAGACCATTAACACACACCTTCAAAGTTGTTCTTTCTTTTAGTTAAAACTTTTTGAAGAAATTTATGAGGAACCAGCTCAGGTCACTACATCACTCTGATTCATTCTTTTAGGCCACCCAGAGTACACTTGTCTCTGTACTAAAGTGAGCATGCCCAAAGCATTGGTATGGACCATCTTTCCTTTTGGAACAGGTATTCTAGAACTTAGAACTGAGCATGCCCAAAACAGTGTTCACCTTTTCCAACTAGGACCTTAAACCAAAATGCTCAGAAATGTACACTTAAATGAGTGTGCTCAGAAACACAACCATCTTTATCTGTGCTTTCCTAAATAGACATGTGTATCTTCCCTGAATGAAATCCCCATCCCCATGTTTCCATTTTTCCATGTGCGCATTACTTTGCAAATAACTTCTCTGCACTCCTTACTCCCTGTGGGTAATAAGTCTTCCTCCATTCCCTTATCTCCTGATAGTGCTCCTTGGGTTTGTGCTCACCTGAGAACCCATTGTGTTCAGTTATTCTTGGGGCACAATTTGGTGCCACTGACTCATTTCACACTAAGGCACTAGCAACTTTGTCGTTGTGCCAAGTCAACAAAGTGAAGGATAAAAGTATATTATTATAAAAATAAATTGATCCCTTAAAAGGGTCTTGGATTTCCCCAAGAATCTTCATACTACACTTTGGAAAATACAGGTTGATATTAGTTATACTCAGTTCAGTGATGTATAATTTTGGCTTTTAAAAATTTTAAGATTATAGACAACCTGCTGAAAGCTCCCACTCCTTTAAACACTAAGCAAAGACTTCTTGAAAAACCAGCCTCTACCTCAGAGCAAAGCCTGTCCAAGGAAGGGGGCTTGACCCTTGTCCTTGGAAAGACCCACAGAGTACTCATAGGCTCATACCCACCCTGCTGAGCTGTTTATATACAAATAACAGGAGAGATCTGCTGCACCAGGTGTCCCTGACTCAGTCAGGCCAGGTGAGAACCCATAGCAACCCCCTAGCAACCACCAATCAGCATGAGACAGGGAAAATACCTGAGATGCCAGATGACCCTCCCAGTAGTTAATCCTGGTTGATAATGTGTTGGGGAACCAAGTAGTTCAACACATACTCCTCTCATGGCTTAAACCAATCAGTTCAAACAAATCCCCCTCTTGTACTAACCAATCACCCTTACCCAACTTGTTCCCGCCTGTGAATGTGCTAATCAATGTTTAGAGTTGTTTTATGATTTTCCCACGGTGTGTGATGATTTGCTAAGAGATGCTATGATGTATGTGAAGTCCCTGCCTTCCCCAAAGAGTGTATAAAACTGCTGCAAACCCTGGGCTCCAGGCCTCTCAGCGTCACCAGTTGCTGTGTGTGCGCGCAGAGGATGGAGCTAGCTCACAATAAACACCTCTTTGCTGCTTACATCGATCTTGGTCTCTGGTGGTCTTTTGGGGGCCCCAAATTCAAGCATAACATTCCAACACTAAGAAAAGGAATATCAATAATAGCCCTGACACATGAAGCATAAACATAAGAAACATAGTAATGCTTGTTATAACATGGAAGATTCTGAGAACATAACATATTTAGGACAACTTCTATATGTCTTGTATATACAGGTGAGATTTAACACATTGTCTATCATTAACACTGCTCGGCAGTGGAATCAAAAAACATCATATTCCAACTCCACAAATGATAGGATTATTTATCAATAACTTTTATTTATCATGGTTTCTGAAGATTTCACTGTATCAGAGCAGCAATTTATCAGTCTTTGATCATTTAAAATTAAACTCTGAATATTGTTTGAGCTACTTTTAAGGATTACCACAATGAAAGAGAAGGGTACAAAAACCCCCCAAATCATTAGAAACCATTTGTAATCATCTCTCAATAGCCCTTTCCACAGATAAAGAAACCAGCTTCAAAATATTGTATGACTTAGACAAAACCTTAAATGATTGATAGATATCCAAAGGTATGTGAGGTCAATGATTGTGATTTGATCAACAACAAAATCCCCAGGTGGCCATCTGAATCATTTACTTTAAAAGAGAAAGCAAACCCTGGATTTTGGTACTTTACCTTAAAACACTGAATACTTATGTGGGAGTACTTTACTATTCCATTATCAAACTATTTAAATTTTAAATACTATCTCCAGATTCCTGCATGTCTCAGATTGGAGGGTGTGGAAGGTCCATAGACTAAAAGATATCTTTTTTTTTACTTTTACTTTTCAGACTCAGATTTCATAAAAGGAAAAAAAAAAAAAAAACTATCCTTGATATAAATGCCAACAATTTCTATCAAGGAGGATTTTCACTTTCTAAAACAAAGCAACAAAAACAGAAAGTGCTACATACACTATCAGGCCCCAGTAATACAATTGGCCTTTGATATTTTAATGGTCTTAATGGCAATGACTAAGGAAAAGATTTTGAAATATCTGTTTGTCTATAAGCAATTACTAGCAGTCTTGATTGTGGAAAATACAATGTATAAATAATTTTCCTTGCTGTAGCTAATAATTGAGCACTGTGCAAATCCACTGAGAAGGTGGATTTTAAATGTTCTCATCGAAGATGTCCCCTATTTAATGTGAGGGAGGGATTGGTTGGCTTGATTTGCTCATTCCACACTCTATTAAAAATTATAAGACCTCTTTGTACCCTATATATATTTACAGCTATGATTTGTGAATAGATAAGGGAAATAATCAATTTTTAAAAAGTAACCTTCTGTAGAAATTATGTGGCATTTCATCTTATTCATGAAACCTTAACAAAGTTTTTAGCTTTTTAAAATCTTAAAAAGATAGACTTAATATCTGGAAAACTGATTTCTTATGAGAAGGTGTAACTGTTAAGCTTTTCTAGGTAAAGTGACCTTTTTTGATAATTTGGAGTGGGGATTTACTCTGTTCCCAGAATAATTAATATGTACTCAAACATTACCATCCAATTTCTTTTTTTCTTTTTTTTTTTTTGGGGGGGGAGGATACCAGAGATTGAACCCAGGGGTGCTTAACCACATCCCAAGCCCTTTTTATTTTTTATTTTGAGATAGTGTCTTGCTAAGGTGGCTAAGGGACTTGCTAAATTGGGGAGACTGACTTTGAACTTGCGATTCTCCTGCCTCAGCCTCCTGAGCCACTGGGATTATGGGCATGTGCCACCATGCCAGTTTGCCATGCAATTTCAAAGGCTTCACAGACTGTTCCTCTTTAAACAGAGACAGGGTAAAACTTACCTATCCAAGAAAAATATTGCACAGTCTTTGAAAAGACTATGAAATCCTAAAACTTGCTAATTATTTAAAAACAGCAGCATATACTTAAAAGTTTAAAGAGAAGATAGAAAGGGGGTTAAAAAAAACCCTTTATTTTCTTTTAATACATCAATTTAGGGAAGAAAGGAGTCACAGAGAATTTTGTCACTTGGGAAAAAGCAGGGAATATATATCTTTTTTTCTGAATCTATTACATTTCTCTTGCCCCAGATATTGACACCTGATATTCTCTCTCTCTCTCTCTCTCTCTCTCTCTCTCTCTCTCTCTCTCTCACACACACACACACACACACACACATACACACACTTCAAATTCTATTCCATGTTTTCAGGTTAAGAAAGGTGCCTTCACATATCATATTTCATACATTTGAACAACCAATAATAAAAATTTTTTAAAAAAAGAAAGGTG